AGATGCCGGTCTAGATGGGAAAATCTAGACCGCGGTCAAAATTGATTTCCACCAATCAAATTCGTCAATTCAGTTCTTCTCAATTCTTGTGAGACACAGCCATATAATAATTGGTCTTATTACAAGGAAACCAAGGGGAGGGGAGTGCGAGTTTGTGGTTAAAACCAAGTCTCTCAGTATCCCAGAGGTGTCATCTTTCATTGAAAATGGATCGAAGTTGAAATATCTCTTAAAATCTCAAATGTAATTTTGTTACCTTTGGAAGCCCACAGAAACTGAATAGTACCCAAGATATTTCGGTTCAAGCAAAGGGTACAAGAATTGAGAAAACACAATCATTCAGATACTCAAGTTAGGCGTAACACTTAACCAATCTTTGTCCTGGGCCGATTATGTGGATGCTATCAGCATGAAGGTTAATCAGAGGATAGGCCTAATTGGGAGAAACAGGAATTTATTGCCATTACATTTAGCCAGAGTGTAAATTGAGCATCCAGGCAATTAAATTTAGTGGTATGATAACGTGTACCGTAAAACAACCCGGAATATAGGCCAAACCATAAAATGTGCCTCAGAACTCGTTCCAAAACTAAAGCCTCCAATTCGTTTTTATTACAAATCTCCCTAAAAAATCTTTGTATTTTAGCCTTATGGTGGTTCAAACCTATGACCCTGCATCATTTACATGGTGGAGGTCGCAATGTAGGCTTACCTTAAGGTTAAGTTTTCGACCGTTGCTGGTTTAGTCTTCGGTTGTTTGACGGTTGACGGCAAACTTTTTTCATAATTATTTGAGGATGGACGGTTAACTTTAAGGCCGTTTGATGGTTGAAGATTTACCCCATTGGGACCCCCATTCAAGCTTTTATTTACAGCACTTGTAATTACAAAAGGGCGCATTTAGCAATTTCTAGCTTTACATGTCAGTGCTGAGTCAGTCGATTTCGGTTGCGAAAACAAGTTCTCTTCGTGAGGCTGGTTTCCATAGCATCGTTGCGATCGCTACAGCAAAAGATAAGCGATCCATATAAAACTACCGCTCTTCGTGCGATCGCGATGAATAACACGAAATTGAAGCGCAAATTTGGCTGTAAACCTTCATAAAAGGATACAATATTGCCCA